TATCGCCTATCGTTAGAAGCAAAAATCATGGGAATCCTCTTTGTAGAACGGAGGAACGAATTGTGAAAAAAACTGCAAATTTAGAGGTTCATTGAGCTTATGGTACTGGTATTTTATCCTCTGGGAGCTCTTCGCCTATTTTGCAATTTGAACGTATTGGTGGCGCAACAAGAACTTAAAGCTGATTAGATCCGAGGCCAGGTGCAGCGGCTCTCGGCCGATTGATGCGGTTCGACGGCAGGAGCATTGACCACGGCGCGGCGCGGCGCGGCGTTTGCAGCTGGACGCGAGGCGCAATGCGCAGCATCCGACAGGCAGCGCAGCCGACCAGACAGTTGCCCGCTGAATATGATTTCATGGCAGCTTTTGACGGGCTCCGGCCAAGCGCAGCTGCTGCAGCGGAGGCGTTGCACAGTGGATCCAATCAACTAGATACCTCGCACAGGAACGTTTTCACTAAAACTCCAAATTTTCATGTTTATTTCGTCATATTTTCAATTTCAAGGGGTGCTGAGAGTAGAAAATTCGATGAGAAAACCAATGGTACCACACAAAGAGCCTCAAAGTTTTATATAAACGGAGTTATAAGCGTTTAAAGTTTCTGAATTTGGTACGACCTCACCAATTGACGCGATCCACTGTGCGCTGATCCGGGGCAAAGGGAACCAAGCGCGCCGCGGAGTGATATTGTTAACAGAGGAGAAAAGTACGAAAAAAAAGGGAATGATCTATCACGAATCGCTAACGACCCACGCCAGGGCACCGTCGCCGCCGCCGCATCCTCGGCAACCGGTGATCGGTGAACCGGTATTGAACCGTAAACCGGTTGCCAGCTCGAAATCCTCGAGCGACGCCTTCTGCTTTCCTGCCGTCTTACCGAAGAGAGCGGTGACGCCCTAAGATTGTCGTTTCCGAAAAAAAGAACGTAACTCCGTTCCAAAGTGTCAAGATGTGTCGTTTCCTTGACGAAAGAACGTAACTACATTCCGACGTTGCCGAATTTCAGTTGTAAATTGCATTTTTACCATGAAAATCTTGAACATTTCCAACCGAAAATTTCACTGATTTTTCTTCTGATCTTATGTAAAAACCAAACAAATATTAGATGAAAATTGCATTGGTACATTGGAGTGTTCGCTCATTCCATTTTCCGCTCGTAACCAACTACATATTAAAAAATCCGTAGTTAGGTTTACTTTAGGATACTTAGAGTTACTTTTTTTCGGTCAGATCGACCAAAACGACTTGATTGATCGAACAAATGTTTACTTTAATCGACAGAAATCGTAGGTTATTCCAAGACATCCAAGGCTGAGGAAAGTATCCTTCTTACTGTACTCTAGGGCTTGGGTTTCTCTTCACGTAACGCAGAGATTGCATATTCACTCGTAAGTCGCATCATGGGAACATTAAGTCAGCAGGATACTTTCTTAATCCTGAAATGTTTCGGGGTATCCTAAGATTTCGATTAAACAAACGTTTCGGTAGATTGATTCAAACATTTGGTCGATTAACAAAGTCGATTCAGTTGATCTAATCGAAAGAATAGCCCAAAATGACCAAAAATACTGACATTTTTGACTGCGTGCAGAATAATACATAACAGGCGAGCTCTTTTTGTACGAATCCGTTGTCTTTTTGTGATGCCCTAATACGAGATGGCCCAAAAGATGGCAGACAACCGGACTGTTCGGACAGTGCAACTAAGTCCTCGCGTACCCATCTACTAAATGGACGTATTTATGCTGAAAGGAACTATGTTACATGCAAATCCTGTGCATATAGATCCTTTCAGCATAAATACGTCCAAGTATGCCCACCCACTTACTTGACAACACCGAGGCGCAGATCTCAATTCGAGCGACGCGACGACGAGCAAAAACTTTCTTTGACACCTACAAAAAAAACCACTTTCAATTGCTGCGTTGTGTTGCCGACACTGCACCATTTTCTATTCAGCCGGGCGCATTTACGATTCCACCGCTCTGTTAAGCGCTGAGCCGTTCCGGTCTATTCATGATGGGGTATTGTCAAGACCGCCCCCCCCCCCGCACTCCCTCGCGGCAACACCCCCATCTAGGATGAGCGTTGTCGCTGCCTTATCGTTTGGTGGTTGCCTTGTAAATTAGGAAAATGTCAGAAGTTTCGGGAACACGTTCTTCGCCGGATAGAATTGAGGTGCTTGCATATGACACTTTTGTGGATTCATGTGATGAGCAAAAGTTAAGAGCGTTCTTTAAAAACATTTTCTGATACGAGAAATTGGAGAAATGGATTCGAAAGTGAAAAAATTAAGCTTAGAGGCGTCATGGAGCGTCATTTCCCATTTAAACAAGTGTATATTTTAGCAGATTAAACCCTTCTTCTATACCTCCACACTGGAAAAAAAAAAAAACACATTCGATCTAGAGTCCAGACTCCTGAAAACATTGACAAGAAAAAGGACTCTTGATTCAATCGGATTTAAGCTTAAATCAAAAGGAAATCCGCTCAAATTAAGAGGCTTGGTTCTTAATTTAAGCTTAAATCTGATTGAAACAAGAGTATTTTTTCTTGTCGATGTTTTCAAGAGTCGGGACTCTAGATCCAATGTGGTTTTTTTTTTCCAGTGCACTTGAAAACTTCGGAACACAAACATATCCATGTGCTACACATGTGCTCATTTGGACTACACTTTGCATTTCGGAACTTCAGTTCAGAAACAACGTATGTGCCATTAGTTTTCCTATGTACATGAGTGTTTAATGAACTAAATATTATAGTTTCTCGTCCGAAGAACGGATAGTTAAGCAAGTTGGCAACTCGGCAGAAAATGGCTGAAAACCACGAGAGAGTTCAAAAACACACACACTGTCAAATGAGTCAGGGCCAAGGTCTTGAATAGAAGGGAGAAGAGAGGAGAGATGGGGCTTTCTCCACGAATGAAAAAAGAGGCCGGGTGAAACAATAGAGGTCCCAATTAAAAGGGCGTGAAAATGAAAGCAAAAGCGACCTGTCTCGTTTCCGAATATTTGGACTGCAGCTCTACCACAACGCCGACAATCGCGGAATTAGGTCGACCGGGTCATGACACAATGCACTGAAAAAAAAATTCTCTTGGATCTTGAGTGTAGACTCTGAATAACATTGACAAGAAAAGATACTCTCGATTAGTGCACACGATTATGGAGCGGAAAGTGGACATTTTGGAACTGCAAAATTCAAATATACGAGACAACTTTGGCGCTATCAGATGTGGAGAGTGATTAGCATGTCCTTTCTCAATGTAAAATGACTCACTTAGATGGACTTAGAAGACTTGGGACTGATAAATTGTCTTAATAATAATTACTTAGGTCCAAAGTAATGTAATTTCTTAAGTAACTGAGGTCTTCGGCTACAGAAACAGAGGTTTTGTTCAGATAACCGAGCTCTTCAGAAAAAAATTAAGCTTCATTGTTAGTAAAGCCACGAGATACCTGAACCAAAGTTTGAATTCTATACGATTGAAAAAAAAAATCGGTTACCTGGTAACCGAAGTTCTTTACTTCGTTCAAGTAACCTAGGTCTAGTCTTGTCTAAAACCAACACCACATTTCAACAATTCCCTTCATGACAGAAACATTTGTATGTTACCATTCGTGCCTCAAGATTTCCTCAAGTTAGTGCAGTCGTCTTTTAAGGTTTTTTTCTTTTAATTCAAGGAGAGCATAACTATGCAGATTTACAAACGACATAGAGTGAACTTTCAGAGAGTCTAAACGGGTATAATGGAAGAAATTAAGTTAAACAGACCGATCGACAATCGATGGTAAAGCGAAAGATAAACTCAAGTTGGAGGAAAAGATTCATTTAAAGATATGTATGTATCTTTTATTGACGCCAAAAATTGCCTACTAAAAATAAATGCTAAAAACTTATGAAGGGTTTTGCAGTTTATGAGACTGATGCTACTACTATAGACTAATCTATTGTAGCGAGAAGATGACCAGAATTTGACTGGACTGGAAATTAACACTAAGTTGACGGACAAAAAGAGAAAAAAGGAAAAAACCACGTGAAATACGTACTGCATCTAAAATACGATGTCAGATGGGCAAATTCAGAACCCATTCTAGAAATAGTTGATCAAGTTCGCCATCGCAAAGAGGGTATCCTGCGGGAAGTTCCAGCCCCCTCCGCATGAGTTCCCCTAGTTAAAGTTCTGCCCTCATTCTCCCCCGCCTGAAATCCTAGCTGGACCAGCCGAATTTCTCACGATTTTCCCTCAATTTATAATTTCATCTCAACTTTAGACCTTTAGTACCTACTTGTCATGGGCGTTGATTATGTTTGGTTAAGAATTTCTTATAAAGATGGGGTCCTGAGTTGAACCATTCTTCAATATTCTCAATCTTCAATCTGCCCTCATCCCCTCACGCCTGAAATCCTGGCTGGACCAGCCGAATGTCGCACAATTTTCCATCAACTCATAATTTTATCTTTACTTTAGACCTTCAGTACCTACTTACTCGTCATGAGCGTTCATTATGTTTGGTTAAGAATTTCTTATAAAGATGGGGTCCTGAGTTAAAACATTCTTCAATATAGCGAAATACGACCTTATTTCGGGACTATTTTCAGGAGAAGGGGTCCAGATTTCCCAGTACGGCCTTGGCTAAAAGGGGCGGCATGCTGTCCCATTAATTCATTGATGAAGTCTACGGATATTGAACAGCTACTAGCGGCAGTAGTTCTTTTTTGGGGGAGGGGGATGCTCAGCTTCCGGGGAGGGGAGTGGGGAAGACCCCGAGCCAGTGGCGTGGGGTAAATTGCGATATATCGATAGTTATGCCATAAAAACCTATGGTAAAGAATAGATTATTAAGGTGTTTGCTGCGAACACCCTGTTTATCGATCCTCTTCCATAGGTTTAAATGGCATAACAATCGATACATCGCAAATTACGCCACGCCACTGCCCCGAGCTATGTCCAGGATTTCACTATTTTACCATTTGTATATATGAAACGAAAGACTCACCTTCTTCTGGAGTTGGGAACGATGGCAAACGGGAGGCGAAATCCACTGGCAATGCTGGGCGTCTGGGGATGCTGCGGCGAGGACGGCGAGGGGACCGGCCCCGAATTCAACAACACTGACACATTGGGGGGCGCGGCGGCCCCCAGGGGAAACTGGGCGGGTGGGGTGACGACCGGTACCGGAACGGGGGGCAGCGTCGAGTAAGGGGGTGGCAAGTGCGAGTTGAGAATGTCCGGGAGCCGCTCCGACTCCGGGGGGACCTGCGTTTGCGGGGGCCACGAGTGCGGATCCTGAGGGGGCAGCGAGGACCTTTGCAGGGAGTTCATGAGCCGCCGCTGCTGGTGGCGTCGCTCCCGTCTCTCCCGGCGCCGCTGTTCCCGGTTGGCGTCCCGAGGGTTGACTAGGACATCGTCCGTTTGGGCCTCGGTCGACGTGAACGTCCGCGAGGACACCGTTTCGGGGGCATTGCTAGGCACTAACTCAGCACTTCCGCGGCTCTGGAGGGTGTAGACGGGCGAGTTGGTCGACGTCGGCGGGATGTAGATGTTGCTCGTCGAGACGGACACTCTGGGTTTCGGGGGCGGGGGCGGGGGCGGGGGCGCGACCGCGGGTCCACTTTCTACCCGGACGTTGGACACATTCGAGCTGTTTTGACAGAGGATGCTCGGCACGGCCGACACGGTGGCCGGTACGGCGCGGTAGCACACATTCGCGGGGGAAGCACTCAAGTCGCAGTTGATATCACTCACACTGAATTTCCCGGGCACAACACTGACACTGGAACTGGAACAAGTATCCACCGATTCACTCCCGTTCGCAGAGGGCTCGACGTTCACGAGCATTGTATCGAGTGCATCGCGCGTAGCGCCGACGCGGGACCTCGGCTCAGACTGGCCCGCTCCGGCTCCGGCCGCCGCGCGCCGCGAACCAGTTGCCGAGCGCAGCGCTCCCTGCGGCGGCTCCGGCAAGCTCGGCCGCGGGTCGTTGACCAGTCCTGTCCACTCGGCGCCGTGAAATCTGTAATCAGGGGTTGGTGTCGGCGTCGGCGAGTTGATGAGCCCGCAGAGCGAGGAGGACGTCGAGTCGTGGCCGCGTTCGCGACACACCCCCGCCAGCGACCGCTCCGAGTCGGTCGACGATAACGAGTCCAGCGAGGAGGTGGAGTCGCGGGGGTCGCGCGACCAAGTCGAGGGTGAGTTCAGCCAGTAGGACACGTCCGAGTCGTCCAGGTTCCGGCTGGTCGTCGTCTCGCTCCGGCATTCGTACGGCTGCCAGAGCAGTGACGAGAGGGCGCGCTCGTAGTCGCTTCGGGACGTCCGTAAAAATCCACCCTCGAGTCGCCAGTCTCGTTCCGAGAGCCAGCTTTTCGAGCGGACAGGGGTGCGTCGAGCGGGGTTGACTGGGGGTTGAGGGGTAAGGCCACTTGGGTGCGGGTCGTTGGACCTTGCTAGGTTCTCTATCGTCTCTACGGTGCTTCTAGGTCGATCTACCGGTCGCCGGTCGGGTAGGCTCTCTCGGCCGTACTTCAACAAAAACAACTTATCGGCACGCAGCTCTGCGAGGTCTTTACGCCCGGGAGTCGCGTTTGAAGGGTTCTTGGGCGCTAGTGGTCGGCGTGGGGGGTTTTTGGGGTCCACGCGCCGGCGTCCCGGGCGTTTTTGGTTCTTTTTCGCGGCGTCTTGGATGTCCTTCTTCCCCTCCTCACCTCCGCCCCCGCCCCCCTCGTCTTCTTCTTCATTTTCCGAGTCCGACTCGGAGCCGAGGAGTTCTAGGTGGGAGAGGGGCCGCGGTCTGATGACGTCACGCGGCCGAGAGGAGGTGAGGCGGTATTTGTCTTTGGTATCGTTCGATGACATCCCACGTGGACGCAGAGGTGACTAGAGTGAGAGAGATCGGACATCAAAGATGAGAGGTCAGTCATCGGACAGGAGGAAATGGTCGCCGCGTTTGGGTTTTCTGGCACCTCGGCATCTGCCTCGCGTTGGAGCCAAGTTCAGCAACCTGAAACAGCAAACATAGAAACAGAATGATTAGTTTTTTTAGAAAATTTAATTTACTTGTACAAAACAAAATGTTTATACTCGAGAAAGGCATGCAGTAACATAAACAGTACATTCGATAAAATATTATGGTAAATAAACTCTTTACAACTAATTGGTGCTCTGCATTAATACTTCAAAAAACATTAGGTAAGTGTATTTCACTTTGTGTATTTTCAACTTTCACAAAAGTTAGCAATATTTCTTACAAATGTGGCGTTCCTCGACCGTCGGCTAAAATGCATTTTTACGAATGTTTACGAGAATTAAATAAATACCGATTTAAAAAATTATTGAATAAAAATGCGTTGAAGTGAAAATTCATCTCTTTTTAAGTGCAAAACCAAAGGCAATCAGCTGGATTGCATATAGCAAAAAGGCAAAAAGAGTATGCCACTGTCGCTTAGATGATGCAACTTTTTTTTACCTTCCAAATATAAACTGATCATCGAAACAAGTTTCAGCTTTGCTCCCAATAGACTACAGTTCAAGACGAAAATTACCTTTGTGAATTTAATTTTTTGAATGATTTCAGTAATTTCATTGCAAAAAATGTAAGTTGCACGATCTAAGCAACATTGGAATGCTCTTGGTTCCTTTTTTCAAAGAGCGATCCAAATGATCTACACCACATCGTCACCTTCCAGGCAAAGTATCACAAGCGCCATGCGACGTTTAAAAATTTCCGCCGCCATTTTATTTTTTTACTGAGAAATTGTTGGTTGAATCCGTTCGAAAATTTCACTAAATTTTATCGACAGCACAAAGAAAATTCGGTGTAATTTTCGGACAGCTTCGTTGAACAATTTCTCTTTAAAAAAATATAATGACGGCGGAAATTTTTAAACGTCGCATGGCGCTTGTGATACTTTGCCTGGAAGGTGACGACATCATGATAACCATGGAGTCTGATTTTCAAGCAGATGAACATTAGCAACGATGTACGAATTGTTTGCAAATCGGAAAGAAACAGTGATCGATACTTTAGATTTTGAAAAAGCCGAGACACTCAATGAAGGGAGTCAGTGCTAATTCGCTGGATAATAATGGTCGCACATGCTTTAGTTTAATGTAGAGCACCAACACTGAAGTGGTTGTTGGCACTCCAAAATAGTTATTACTATTCATTCTCGAGGAATAGTGATGTTGGACAGACTTCACAACGCAATTACGCCATGTGCCTGGATGGAATATGTATTTTGCAAAAAGTTTTATGATTTCACACCTTGACTGGCGAGGATGCCAAGTTGGAAGAGTTACTCCTATTTCGCTTTCCGAGTCGGGCGAGTGCTACACCCAGATCCGGCATCACGGCTGTTGAGCGAGTTCCGCAAGTTTGCATAAACTTTGCGTTTTCTCATTTATTTTCAAGATTAGACTCGGAGAAATGAGTGACGGCACGCCGCGAAAAGTTGGCGAATTCCAGGTCGCCGAGTGGACGGCGGCTCCATTAGGAAGCCTGCGTTCAGCTATAACTTTTCTTCTTTTTTTCGGGGGGGGGGGGTGGTGGAGGGGTAGAAGAAGGTAACTTTCCCTTCCGGGCGCACTTATTTTCTTAGAAAAATCAGTAAGGTTACGACACGGTCTTGCTAGAGCTTGGCCTGCTCGCGACGTGACGTCAGGTTTTCCGAGCGAATCCTTGACGGGGAATTGACGTCGGCGCCTACTTCGAAATTCGATTTGCTCGATATTCATCAAACCGGCCGATGAAGGGTTTTAGCTTGCCAATCCATGAGTTCCTTGCTCAACTTCTTGCTCTTATAACCATAAATAAGGCTCAGTTTCCATTATGCTGAAGTTTAATGAAAATAAGTCATTAGATGGCATGGACATAATTTTGAGATAGATTTACCTTTTAACTGTCTATACAAAGAAGCAGCTTAAAAAAAAGGATTAGGATAACCGCACAGACTAGGAAGTGTCTGAATCTCAAGTGAATATGGGTTGAGTATTTTCTAAACTGGACAATCTTTTTGCGTTTGTCGCTCTCACACAATATTTTTAGAACGCATCGGCTATCGGATTCTGTTCTAGCTTTTATTTAAAATTTTCTTCTCTTTTTTTTTACCGTGCATAAAAAATTGATAGTACTCTATCAGCAAATACCCGGTTATTAATAATAAAAAAGGAATGTCACATATAATAACTCTGGGAATGCTGCAACCAGTGGCGAGGCGGGAATGATCGGTCATCGATTTCCCCATTTAAAGCTGTGAAAAATAATCGCACAAGGTGTTCGTTGCGAACACCCTGTTCATAGATTCTTTTCCATGGGTTAAAATAGTAGATCAGTCGATACACACTGAAAAAAAATTCTCGGCGTTTTTACCAAGGTCCGTTGGTACCTTTACCATCTCACTTTTTTTACCAATTATTAGTAATTTTATCAAGACAGACTGGTAAGCTTACCTAAAAACCGGTATTTTTACTGTTTTCTTCAGGTAAGAATACCACTTTTATTGATAATCAGTTCCCGGTAACTTTGCCATTTTATCTCGGTACTTCTACCACAGTCGATAAAAAATATTGGCGTTTTTACCAATGTCCAGTAAAATTACCGAGAAAGTTTAATAATTTTACCGAGGTTTCTCGGTAAAATTACCAATTCCATAAATGGTAATTCCATAAATGGTAATTTTACCAAGAAAAAACTGGGATCAAATAGAACCCTGAATTCTTGGTAATATTACCCTTTTCTTAGTAAATACACCGAGATTTTTTTTTCACTGCATCGCATAGTACGCCACGCTACTGGCTGCATCACTTTCAGAGTATGACGAGGGCATTTTCTTCTTAACCCACTTCGGTATGAAAGGCTATCTCTCGATTTAAGTGAAAGATTCTTCGGAGAAGAAGTGTGAGGCTAATTCGAGCCGTATATGCGGGTCCTCGGTTGCAGCGGATTTAAGTTACAACTTCAAACAAAGTTAATTGGAGTAATGAAAGACGCTGGGAAAAATTTAATAATTTATCTAATAACTCAGTGCGGAAAAGGACGTCACCTCCGACTCGGAGCGGATAGAGAAGAAAAAGGAGACGACTCCTCTCTTGAAATTATCACTGCCTCTTACACTTTTAATTTCTCTCCTTCGTGGCGACCAACTAATCTGGAACAACTTAATTTTCCTCTCTCGAAAAGTCCTCCCTTTCATTCCCTTTTTAATTTAACAGGGAAGAAGAAGAAGAGGAGGAAGAAAAATTCCGGCACGGACCTGGAGAGAAAAGTCGGTTCTCTCGCTCGCGAAGCTCCGAAGTTTGCTGATGAATTCATAGCACGATCCGAGGAAGAGAGGGTGGGAGGGGTGGGAAAGGGGTGGGAGAGGAGTGGGTGGTGGTAATTAATAAGGAAAGTAATATTGTTTACTCCGGCTCCGGGTCAGCTTTACCGCATCCCGGACCCAAAGTGAATATATTCATCATGGACTCAACGGTGCCTGCGATCGATTGGCTCTGCAATTTGTGAGGCGTGCCAACCTCTCACTCTCACAGTCAGATCATGTTCAGTTCTAGTCCAGGCGCCTGGTAGCTAAAAATGAGGCTACCTGGAATTTTGGGTACACAGCGATTTTTTTGGCTTACTTTATGTTGTTTGGGTCGCTGAATCCGAATCTGAAGTTTCCGCACGCGTATCTGGTGAGCATTTTCCGCTATTTTGAAAAAATGGCCTAAAAAGGCCTTTTTTTGCGGTTTTTTTGATATAGCGGCTACGGATGAGGAAAAGTCCCGGATTTAGCTAATGTTTTGAATAGCTGACATAATTTGGAAGAAAATGGTGTATACATATGTTAGGTTTGCTTAAAAATTGAGGAAGATACAGCATCGTGAACATCGCGCCCATTCACGTTTTCGCGGCGCACCCGTCAACGCGCGATCTGGCTCGCCGCGGTCAGCCAAGTTCCGAAGCGTTCCAAAGTTCCGAAATCCGAGGTTCCTCAATTTTTGAGCAAACCTAGCATATTTATATACCATTTTCTTCCAAATTATGTCAGCTATTCAAAACATTAGCTAAATCCGGGACTTTTCCTCATCCGTAGCCGCTATATAAAAAAAACCGCAAAAAAAGGCCTTTTTAGGCCATTTTTTCAAAATAGCGGAAAATGCTCACCAGATACGCGTGCGGAAACTTCAGATTCGGATTCAGCGACCCAAAAAACATAAAGTAGGCCAAAAAAATCGCTGTGTACCCAAAATTCCAGGTAGACTTACCAGGCGCCTGGACTATTCACGTATAATGCTGCCGTGCTCAGGAAAAAAGCCGTATCATCATCGACAAGTTTCCAAATCAGCCCGAATAAAGGTCACTATGTACGTAGAGCCTGAAATTGTTCCTCTTATTATTCCCAAGTTTTCGCATGAACATAAAAAATAATTGTTCTATGAATCGGTTCCCATAAATCGGTGATGGATCCCTCTGGAAGCTGTCTCCACTAATCGACGGTGAAACTATCAGACCACGTATCTCGCCTTTTTACCCAAAATAGACAACACCGCGATGAATTTATACCAAGATGGCGGTGGTCTCTTGATAGCGGTGATAAAATCGAAATGAAGAGAGGTGTAGGCTACTTCAAAGGTGCTACCGTCACAGCTAACCGGTCGTCCCTCAAAGAGTCCCAGCTCCATTCATTACGTTTTTTACTGGCTCCCACACTTTTGATTGAACTAATCTTTCCAAACTGCTTTTCGAGTGGGGAAAAAGGGAAACAAAGTTCGATTTCATAGGAGCTAAATGCGTAGTTGAGTTTAAGTAGGGGCTCCCCCACGACTCACGAAAGTATTCATAATTTGGATAATACTGATTATTGCGAGGGAATTAAAAATGCAGCCCATTTGTTGCGATTTTACTCGAGTCATATCGGACACTGACCTAATTTCTATATGTTTTTTCATTAAATAATTTTTCTTGTGTGTAGAAATTTTCCAACTAGGTTCACAGATTCTAGAGGAAGATAAAAATGCTGA